GCTCCCAACAAAATATTAAAAACATAATACAGCAACAACCATTAAAAACTGAACAGAAGTTGCAGCTGGTGCAAAATCATGGCTGAATATGGATTTGAACCCTGATCTCTCAAGTCCTAATCTAACACTCCAGCCACTACACAACCCTGGCTTGTACCTGGTGCATGCAATACCCCCATAGATACATGGCACTGCCAAGGTGACTGGCTGCACAATACCCCTTTCTCTAAAACTGTTTTTAGTGCCCCTGAAAGTGAAGTGACTTCAGTCCACTTCTGTTTCCCAGATTCAAACTGTAAGTGACATGTTTGCTACATGGCCTTGTCACAGGTACAATGACTTCAGCCTAACAAACCGCCGGGTTGCTGTACAATTCTCCCTGAGCATTAACGTTTCCCAAGTATTGCATTTATCTAGCACACTAATATCCTGCCTGTTACTCCCATTATGTGACTCATCATGGCATCCAAGATGGCTGCTTTGTGCGCTCCATAATCCATTTCTTGTATGTAGTCTGCCCAATCCTTCTCCAGAAGGCCTCTGTCTAAGGTATGAGTTCTTCCTCCTGGCAAGCTAAATGGAGAGGATTCTGGGATATATAGACATGAACCCACTGAATGCAGTGGTACCTCGGGTTAAGAACTTAATTCGTTCTGGAGGTCCGTTCTCAACCTGAAACTGTTCTTAACCTGAGGTACCACTTTAGCTAATGGGGCCTCCCGCTGCCGCTGCACGATTTCTGTTCTCATCCTGAGGTAAAGTTCTTAACCCGAGGTACTACTTCCGGGTTAGCGGAGTCTGTAACCTGAAGCGTCTGTAACCTGAGGTACCACTGTATGGCCTTCCTATGGGGAAGGAAGGCATGCCTATCTTCCTACCTCCAGACCCCATAGAAATGCTTTTGTTCAGACTAGAAAAGCTGTAAAAAGCTCTTTTCATCTGGCACCTTGCACCACAGGTGTTGCTTCCATGAATCCCTATTCTGTTTCCACATCATGTGCTCAGGCCTCCATTTCTATGGCAACACCTCCTTTGATTCCCCCCGTGAAAGGCAGTTTGCTCTGGCATAAATCAGCCCAGGGAAAGCTCAGTCATTTGGTCGAGTCAGGAGATCCCAATAAGTCTTCATGTCAAGAGCAGCAGCTTATGCCTTTTTAATAGCATTGTTGTGATTTCTTCTTAAGAGAATTCATTCTGGTGGGCTTATCGAGTACAAAATGTGGTATTAGGCATTCAATTTTTCATGGGGATAATTAAAAAAAAAAAACCCAACCCGAAAAAACCCCACCAACACCAGAGAAGCATCTTCCACATGTGATTAATACTTCAATGGAATACATCAAGAGCCAGCCATGTGTTGGACGTGAGGCATCCATCAGCAGCTGAACATCTGCACTCTATCCATGATGGGCCATTGCTAACATCATGAACAAATCATGGATACTCTAGGCATGGGCAGTGGTTTATAGGCTTTGCTGTAATACACAGTGCATAATGATAGCTGGGTGTGGGGTGGGTGATGTTCTAACATAAGAATGGTGTACGTTAGAGGCTTTTTCTTTCTTTTTTTAACCCATGGAAAAAACTGGGGGACTGTTCAGAAATTGCTTTTCAGGCCATCCATTGTGAAGGCCAAAAAAGTAAGACAAATGTGTGTGGAAGTTAATAGAAAATAGACAGAGGGGACCATCACACACTGAAACTGAGAAACTGAAATCCAACAGAGGGTTGTGCTGGCTTTAATCTTCCAGTCCTCTCAGGCTTCCATATAAAATGCCACCAGTGTTGATAAAGTAATATTGTTGATAGCTTTTTTTGAAATGGCCACACTTCTGGTTTCAGCAGCGGGAAGAGTATTGAGAAGTTATCTGCAGTTATGTGCTCCCATTTCAACGACAGGCTTCTTTGCTCTCTGACTTCTGCGCCAACCTATCAAGTTCCAAAAGCAGAGGGTGGGTCTTTCCACCCGTGCTCCTGTGTGAGTCATGTGATCTGCGCAAGATCATGGAGCCCCAAAGACACGCTTTTTGGGGGCTGTGTTCATATGGCACCCCAAAATGCATATTTTTGGAGCACAGCGCAACACCACAGCCCTGATAAAAGCACTTTTTTGGGGGGGGGGCGAGATCTTGGCACAAAATCAAACAAGCTCACATCTCAGTTGGTTTTGTTGACAATTTAGGAGAAATTGGCAGAAGAGAGCTCTAGAATGGCTTTATTCCATTCCGGGGATAGAGCCAGTATTTACTGAGCTTCGAGGTACATTGCAAAGCCCGTCTATCCTCTTGGACAGAGTGGTTTTCATTTTGCAACATTTCACCCACCGTCCACTTGGCTCAACGAGTGTTTTTATACAATTGCTGACATTGTGTCATCTTGGATTTATTTTATGATGTATTTTAAAATGCAGATTGTACATGTAGCATTCTGATTGCGGTCGCTGCCCCTTTGAATAAGCGCACCAGGATCTGGAAACCAGTGTTTTGGGACACTGGTTTTCAGTGACTCATGATTTCACCTTGCTCTGCCCTTGGAGAACAGATGCTAACTTATTCCATCCTATTGGGTGTAGTTTTACCCATGCCTTGGCTGAAAGGAAACGAGATATTCCCTATCAGTATCAACTAGTTAGGATCACTTTGTGGAAGTTTTGTTGAAGGGCAGATCCTTTATGGGGCTATGAATGGCTTTGTAAATTGCCTTCAGAAGTAACACAGAATGTTTCAGTCATCTCTAAAAGAACTGTTTACGGTTGCATATGGCAGTTATTATTTGGAATAATAAACCCTTGGAGAATCTGAACATTCATGGGCCAACAGATGGGTCAACCTGCTTAGCAATTTAACAAAGTAATTTATTTCAATCACCAGGACAGGGTGCAGGAAGATTGCTAATTCGTTTCCAAACATGCAGCAAAACATCGCTGCCTCTGTGACTCCAGCAGCCATTATGGAAATGTACACCTGTTCAGTTGGGTTTGGGACAGTTCTTACTTGGCGTGGCTCTCTCTGTTTTCTGAAGATATACAGCAAACGGCCTCTGATTGTTTTCACCCAGGCTTATTTGCAGATTCTGCTTGAGGTGAGCTAACCCAATGGCAGCCGGTTATGCTTATATATACATATATATATAGTTGAGTAAAGTCACCTGGGTTGTACTGCATGGTCCAAAAAATGTGAGCAGGAAGCAGTAGTGATTCTGATAAAAGTAGTGGGCTTGAGGAAGCTATCGGCAATTCATTTCCCCTTTGACATAGCTCCAGCATTGTCAGCAGGAGAGGAAATTGAGGTTGGTTCAGATAGCAGGAAAAATTAAGCCACTAATACAGCAGACTCCCCACTTATGCAGGAGTTCTGTTCAGTGGCAGAGTGCATCTTAGTGCCCGGGGCAGGTGAGGGCTGTGAGGAGGACACAGCAGGGCAGGCTTGTGCCAGGAAGGGTGCATGCCTGTGTTGTGTCCTCCTCATGTCACCCTTCCAGTGTGGGCTCTACTTTAAAGATCAGTACCAGTTCGTTGGGACGCGGGTGGTGCTGTGGGTTAAACCACAGAGCCTAGGGCTTGCCGATCAGAAGGTTGGTGGTTCGAATCCCCGCAACTGGGTGAGCTCCCGTTGCTCAGTCCCAGCTCCTGCCAACCTAGCAGTTCGAAAGAACACCAGTGCAAGTAGATAAATAGGTACCACTCTGGCAGGAAGGTAAACAGCATTTCTGTTTGCTGCTCTGGTTCGCCAGAAGCGGCTTAGTCATGCTGACCACATGACCCGGAAGCTGTACACAGGCTCCCGCGGCCAGTAAAGCGAGATGAGCGCCGCAACCCCAGAGTCGTCCATGACTGTACCTAATGGCCAGGGGTCCCTTAACTTTTACCTTTTACCAGTTCTTTGAATTGTGCTCGGATACAGACTGGAAGCCAATGGAGCTCTTTAAGTACTGGCAAGATGTGTCCCCCAAACTCAGCCCAAGTTGGCTCCATGGTTTTACAGCTTTCCTCTGCCGCCCTTCTCCCAGCATAGGTTCTCACCATTCTCCATCATGAGATTTTCTGACCTTTTGGTAATGGTGGCAGCAGATGCAGGAAGGTGAATATATAGCACCTCCTTCCCCACCAAAGTATCTGAAAACCCTCAAGGGGTCTTTTCCTGTTAAGATTTTAAGATTACAATGGCCTGTCTTGTTCTAAAAGTAAAGGAACCATGCCCTTTCTTCCATAATGATTGTCTTTATTCTTATGCAAATAAAACCAACCATTTTATGATGTGATTTTATTAGCAGAGTGCATACACCAGGATTTCCCAAACTTGGGTCTCCAGCTGTTGTTGGACTACAGCTTCCATCATACCTAGCTAGCAGGACCAGAGGCCAAAGATGATGGGATTTGTAGTCCAAAAACACCTGGAGACCCAGGTTTGACAAACACAGCATTCTCACTATGTAAACTTTGTGTCTTCTTCTTCTTCTTCTTCTTCTCCTCCTCCTCCTCCTCCATCATTTATTAGTCACCCGACACATAAGGAGTCTCTCAACGACTTATAAAATTTTGAAAGCACAAAACATGACACCATGGTGGTGAAAAGATATTAAGAATGGTGTTGGGTGGACCTCACTGGAGAGAGTATTCCAGGTGTGGAGCCACAACTGAAAAGGCTCTCTTTCTTGTTGCCAGCCTCTAAACTAGGCATAGGCAAAGTCTAGCCCTCCAGATGTTTGGGACTACAATTCCCATCATCCCAGACCACTGGTCCTGTTAGCTAAGGATGATGAGAATTGTAGTCCCAAACATCAGGAGGGCCGGAGTTTGCCTATGCCTGCTCTAAACCTCTCTCAAAGCGGGCATCCAAAAGAGGAACTCAGATGAAGATCAAGAGGTTCTGGCAGGTTCACAGTTTCACAAAGAAGGAAACTGCCTGATACTGCCTCAGATCTACTGGTTCATCTAGCTTAGCATTGTCTACATTGACCAGTAGCAGTTCTTCAGACAGGGAGTCTCTCCCAGCCATAGCTGGAGATGTCTGATATTGAACCTGGGACCTTCTGCATGGAAGACAAATGCTCTACTATTGAGCTATGGCACGTCCTAGGTAAATTCAATGGGACTTACACTTCAGTAAGCAGGGTTTTGTCCCCCAGATTGCGGCCGGAATGACAGTTCTTTCTGTCCCTCAGTGGCCTTCCTAGTTCTGCACCACCTACTTCTGAACACGAATCTGATTTACGGCTCGCAGCTTCAGTCTGATCACAATTTAAAATATATATATTTCAGGCTGGAAAGGTTCCAGATGGTTAGCAAAATATTGGAATACTTCTCCTCACCACCCACCCACAAAGGAGAATTATCCATATGCCAGTAAAAGCTCATTTTCTTACCAGATTACTTTTCAGCCTGAGGTGTGAAAGGCTAACAGGATGATGCAATATGACATCTTGAAATAATTTTTTCTTTAACAGTTGATTCTTTTCTTTTGCTCTGCTCTAAAATGCAACTATGTTTTTTTAAAAGGCTACCTGGGATCTCCTCTTGTGCTTTACCACTAAACAACTAGAAAAAGTGATTCCTTAAAACATAAACACATGGCAGGGCCTCTTCTGTGGTGGTCACACTCTGTCTACCCCCAAGGTTATCTTCTTCTTTATTTGACCAGCAATTGAAAACATTCCATTTTTAAAAAAGGCATTTGATTCTTTTGCCGTTCAACATATTGATTAATAACAAGATGAAAGATAAAAAATTATTCAAAGATGATCCAAAAAGAACTCCCTTAAGAGTATCAAGTCTTTTTATTTTCAGACAGTCTTTAAAAGAATCTTTCCCCATTTTTTTTTAAAAAATAATTCCAGTAGCACCTTAAAGACCAACTGAATATAAGCTTTCTAGGTAAGAGCTTTCGTGTGTATAAACACTTCTTCAGATACTCTGAAGCAGAGGTCGCTACAATTAGCAATTTTGGTCATCTATCCCTTTAAAAATCCCTTGCCCTTCCCTGTGGAACCAACTGCCATCATTAACCGTCATTAACAGTTATAAGGTTGGCGCAACCTCTGCTTCAGAGTATCTGATGAAGTGTGTATACACACAAAAGCTCATACCATGAAAGCTTATACTTAGTTGGTCTTTAAGGTGCTATTGGAATTATTTTTTAAAAAATTTGGGGAAAGATTCTTTGAAAGACTGTCTTAAGACAAAAAGACTTGATTCTCTTAAGGGAGTTCTTTTTGGATCATCTTTTAATAATTTTTTAAAAAAACTTACATCTTGTTATTTATTATGACTATGACAGACCAACACAGCTACCTACCTGAATCTGCAGCATATTGATTGTTAGTGCTGTTCTTTGTAATCTTGTATTCTGCTGTGGTTTTTATGTAATCTTGTATTCTGCTGTGGTTTTTAATTAGGACATTTGTGTTTCAGGGTTGGATCACTGTGTATCTGGTGCACAAGCCATCTTTGCCTTTTGAGCATCGAAAGGAGAGAGGTTGCTATTTTTATAAATAACTAAATAAATCAATAGCTGTGAAATTATAGCACTAAAAAGGGTGGGGGAGATTGAGGAAGAATGCACAGAGAAGTGAGTTTGTCTTCTTAGACAAAAAACCCCACCCCTTTTCCTATTATAGAAATTCACAGTTCTTTTGACCACAGTTCTTTTGACCACACATTTGACCACTTTTTAAAATCCAGATGTTGAAAATGCTTTCCTGCCACATGTGCAAAAAAGAACCTGCCAGGCAAGGAGGTGGCGGGAAAATGAGACATGTCCTCCTGAAAATAATCAAACATGCATGACATTTTGGTTAATCCATATTACCAAAACATGCATGCCTGTTTTGGTAATATGAATTAAGGATGGAAGCTGTGATTTGTTGGGCCATCATAGATGTGTATCACTTTGCTTTTTTACTTTTCCTTACTTTCACAGTTGTTTTCAAAAACAGTAAGTGATTGAAAATCCCAGAACAAATGAAAATGAAAGCGACAACTGCATTTTTATCCAACTTTGCAGTAGTTGCTGACAAGTGGGGAGCACTTTTGCACCCATGACTTGCTTGAGGACTTCCTATAGGCGCTGTACTAAATCAAGCAGGTCTTTTCTTTAGATTCTTAAAACAGAATAGCCTAACAAATCAGAGAACTTGCTAGAGTTTAAGTGTTCTTTGGTGTTAAGGTAAGGTAAAGGACCAGTTAAGTCCAGTCAAAGGTGACTATGGGGTTGCAGCGCTCATCTTGCTTTCAGGCCGAGGGAGCCGGCGTTTGTCCACAGACAGCTTTCTGGGTCATGTGGCCACCATGACTAAACTGCTTCTGGCACAACGGAAGCCAGAGTGAACGGAAACACCGTTTACCTTCCCGCCACAGTGGTACCTATTTATCTACTTGCACTGGCGTGCTTTTGAACTGCTAGGTTGGCAGGAGCTGGGACAGAGCAATGGGAGCTCACCCCATCATGGGGATTCGAACCGCTGACCTTCTGATCAGCAAGCCCAAGAGGCTCAGTGGTTTAGACCACAGCACCACCCGCGTATTGGAGAGAGGCCATCATATACATTTGCCAATATAGGACACAATAAGAAAATAGAGTATTTTACTCTTTTGGTCTGTTCGCCTTCGGTCCATTTTTCACAGTCTTCCATTTCTGACATAGCTCAGGTTCATTTGAAGAGAAATACGACTTGAGGTGGAGGTTTGGATAATATCTCCTCAGGTTCTGGGGCTAAAATGAAATGATCAGCAATGTTGTAAGAGCCATGTAGTTATACAGAGAACTCTCTATAAAAAATACATCACCTGCAGAAACAAAGAAAATAATATATGAGAGTGCTGCGTTGATAAAAGAGGCTCGTTGCTGCAAACCCTGCCTTTTTGACATCTCGTCCCTTTATATTTATCGATTTCGTGCTGTCTTGCTGCCCAATTTCCCTGAGATTTCCATTTGTTAACAGCAGAAACTGCATCACTTCCCTCCGAGTTTCTGCAGTATTTTTCTTAGTTTCATTTGGTTAGGCCAGTGTGAGCAGATTATCATGTGGATTTGTCACAATTTATGGCTACAGGATTTTATGGGCTTTGTTCAACAGAGCCTATGGCAGGGACAGGTTGCGGAAGCAAATCTGTTTTCTTTGTCAAATGTTCCTCACCTGAAAGGCTTGGTCTGATCAGACTCCCCAGGGGGTTCATGCCTCTAGCTTTCCTTTCGCTGAATCTGACAGCGCATTGGTTCATTCAGTGATTGGCAGCTCTGTCACTTTGCCATACATATTTGATTTTCCTTCACAATTGATTTCTCATTATTTGAGGGGTTTTAAAAAAATAATATATATATATTTAAATCAGACCTATATGACAAACATTTAGTACTGAAGGAATTTTGCACATCCCTTCCTGCTTTGATGCTGATAGAATAAGGAAACACGAGAAGAGAACAATTGTATGTATAAGTTATTGGATATCACGTTGTTGTTGTTGTTTACAAAGCTATGTTCACAGGTCTCAGGATGGTTCACAATATAAAATCACAAAAGAAAAACACAAAATACATAATAAAACCAAAAACAAGAATAACCCAATAATTTGCCCCTCCCCAACACATTTTAAACAGGCGTCGGATGTCATTATTATTATTATTATTATTATTATTATTATTATTATTATACCACCCTATACCTGGGGGTCTCAGGGTGGTTCACAGAATAAAATCAAGATATAAAACCACAAAATACCCAATAAAAATAAAAACAGCAACGCAATACCCCCCCCACAAAAAAACACATTTTAAAAGGGCATAGGATCAACCAAAGGCCTGGTTAAAAAAGGAACTTTTTACCTGGCGCTAAAGGTGTATAATGAAGGCACCAGATGCACTTCCCTGGGGAAAGTATTCCACAGATGGGGAGCCACTGCAGAGAAGGCCCGTTCTCATGTTGCCACCCTCTGGACCTCTCGAGGAGGAGGCACACGAAGGAGGGCCTCAGAAGATGATCTCAGGGTCTGGGTAGGTTCATATGGAAAGAGGCGGTGCTTGAGGCATTGCAGTCCTGAGCCGTTTAAGGCTCTATAGGTCAGGCATCCCGAACCTTTGGCCCTTCAGATGTTTTGGGACTACAATTCCCATCATCCCTGACCACTGGTCCTGTTAGCTAGGGATCATGGGAGTTGTAGTCCCAAAACCTCTGGAGGGCAGAGTTTGCCTGTGCCTGCTATAGGTCAAAACCAGCACTTTGAATTGGGACCAGAAACTAATTGGTAGACCAGGATCTGGGTAGCATGCTCAAACCGTCTTGCTCCGGTGAGCAACCTGGCCACTAAATTCTGCACCAGCTGAAGTTTCCGAACCATCTTCAGAGGCAGCCCTAGCAATACCTCCTCACTGCATTGCACCCTGCCAACCACTGCTGCCCTCATTCCTCTCCACTTCCCTCCTGTCCCTCTGCTAAAAGTCTGCTTCAGCCAATGATGGCTGGGAGAAAAGGATGGCGTGACCATCAGCTAAAATGGAAGTGGTGTCATGGCTAGGGAGCATGAAGGTGTAGCAGTGAGGAGCTAAAACAGGGCTCTCAACAGCTGCCCATCCATGCTGGTCAGCGCAACAAACACTGCTCAATTACTAGGCATTGTGTTTCTTTTCATGTTAAAGATGAAAATATTCCTGTCTTCATTTCAGTTGAAGGAGACCAACAATCTCTCTCTCTCTCTCTCTCTCTCAGAACAGGCACAGAATTTCCACATCTTCACATCTTAGAAACATGCATTGACTTCATCTCATCAATGTAGACCCATCTCAGTTCCCAAAACATAAAACTAAGCGAGATTATTTAGTGTTCATTTTGTCCAATCCCTGAGTTTAAGCCAACTGCTAGTCGACATGACGGCCATTGTGTGTCGTTCAAGTGTGGTGATCTGGGTTCCTTCATTTTTCCTCCAGACACACGCTGCTAAATTAACTGCCACTTGCTATATCTGGAAGAGCAGACATTAGCCATTGCTGTGACCACTGAACTCTTTTCAGACCGCTGGGGAAACCTTGCCCCTTTCTGCTTCCCTCTGCTGCCAGAGTATTTACAAGGAGGCAGAAGGAAATAC